GCAACAAAATATAATACAAAATTAAAAAGATGCAATGGTATAGACAATGAATAGGATGTGGTACCTTGCTTAATAGTAGGAGTGGTGGGAGGATCCAGATGTCTGAGGAGACTCGCTAGCCCTCCTCTTGTTCCTCTTCTCATAAGTCCTTGAAGATAGCTCTGCTTCTTGTGGTGGGGGAACCCAACTTGGCCATAACTGCTCAGCTTGTGAAGAAGTACCTTGATGACCCCATTGCCATGATTGTTGAACTTCAGAGGGATTAGGAGTTGGTTCCCAAACTGATGGTACATGGGTACTTGGCTCATATGATGAGGCTCTTGGTTGTGCCCATGTCCCTCATTGACCAAATTGATACAAGAGTTTTGACTCTCTTGGTCAATCACCCATTGTACTAGTCATTATAGCATTGAGTTTTTATGTCACTCCAAAAGGGAAGATTGAAACAGCAGGATTATAGCAGATTTCCTAATTCAAGCAGATATGAAAGGGGTTTTAGAATATCTAGCAACCTAAGTGATCAAACAGCAATGAAGCAAGCACAAAACAAAAGGTAAAAATAAAGCAAGGCGACTAAAGTAAAGGAAAAATAGGGCAAATTCGAAATAGAGCTTAAAACAGAGAAAAGATGGGACTTGAGATGAGATAATTGGTGTTAGGGAACTCTTGACTCAACCTATGATGCTTACAAACTCATGCAATGCTATCCTTATGCATAGGATTCATTTATATGACTAATCCAATGTCTTGGCACTAATATCTTTGCTAATTACCAAGTCAAGAACTAATTCTCATTAGTGAAGTGATAAAGAGCAAGCATTAAGACAAATATATCAACCCTTGGTGGGCATAAAATGAGCCTAAGATCAGGCTTTTCATCAAACACTTGGTGGGCATAAAATGAGCCTAAGATCTTAATCAACTTAGCTAGAGTTAATTAAGCATTAAACACAGCAATCAAGAAAGGAAAAGAATTAACACTAAGCAATCATAGATAGAGTCTCAAATTCCCTAAACCTAACCCGTCTCAAATCCCTAAAAGGACTACTCACTAAGCACCATTAAAGTCATCAATTCAAAGAGAAAAATATGACTAATCATGATTAGAAAGCTTAAACAAGATCAAAGATGCAAGCTTTAATTAAAATCAAGCAAAGATTCAAATTACAAAACCCAAATGTCTAAACAAAGAAGAAAGAACTGCTGGATAAAAGATTGTTCCTGGAAATTAGGGATTTTTCGTATTTATAGGAGTCTAAGTGAAAATGGCAAAATCTAAATAAATGGTCTTCAGTCTGGGATCATATCATTCAGTTGTATCGGTCTAGGCTTGATCGATATGAATCATATCGGTCTGGAAGGTGTTCGATATGGTGACTGAAATATACTCGGTGCATTTGTATCGATCACTTCTTGACCGATATCCTTGATCGATATGCCTTGTATCGATCACTTTCTGACCGATATCCTTGATCGATATGGCTTGTATCGGTCACTCCTTGACCGATAGCCTCCGTGCACAGACCGATAGGCTCAGCAGAGATCGTCTACCTTGGTCCCTTTTGCTCTTTTTGGCCCAGCTAGCTTCCTGGATCATCCTCAAAGCTCCTTTTAGCTCCATAAGCACCTATAAACATCCATAATGCAAGAAAAATGCAAGCTATATCCTAAATGCAACATAAGTCTAAAAGGAGAAGAAAATGGGACAAGAACTAAGGAAAACATGCAAAAGAGAACCAAAACATGTACTAAATGCAAGCCTAAATGGTGTAAATACAAGAGATATCATAAACTCAGATTTGCAATATGAATACAAAGCAAACAAAGAGGAACACAAAAGCTCAGATTTGCTTACCACTACCATAACATGCAAGTGAGAGGAGGTTGAATGCAAGATAGAGAGGATGGAGAGGATATTGATAGCAAGAGAGGAAGGAGAAGAAATTCATGGTCAGAGAGAAGGGAGTAGAGAGAGAGGCAATTTTAGATAGAGAGAGAGACTTTGTTGTTAATACAATTAGGTTAAACTCTCCTTATATATGTAGAAACAAATACGTTTAAGTAGACTTCTCCAAAAAGCCTACTCGAGAAGTCTACTTAGTATTGATTTCTAACCTAATTTATCTATGATGATTTAAATTGATTATTTTTTATAAGATTTTATTTTTAATAGGTGTAAAAAATATACGTTTTTGTTATGTATATAATTGTTTTACCAGAATATTTTCATCATTTTTTTAATTAATGGTAAAGAAATTATTAGAGAGTAGACTTCTTCAAGAATTCTACTCGAGAAACTGAGAAGTCTACTCGAAAAGTTTCTTAGTATTGATTTTTATCCTAATTTATCTATGATGATTTAAATTGATTATTTTGTGTCAGATTTTATTTTAATATGTGTAAAAAGTATATGTTTGTGTTATATATCTAATTTTTTATCAAATTATTTTTTATGATTTTTAAAATTAATTGTAAATATATTATTAGAGAGTAGGCTTCTCCAAGAAGTCGACTCGAGAAGTCTACTTAACTTCTCGAGTAGACTTCTCTAGGATAAAACAGTAATTGGGGCTGCTTTTTTTTGTTTGGTCATAAGGATTAAGGTTGTAATTTCACTACCCATGTGAGTTATTTTTGTCAAAAATGCAATAGGAGGTCTAGTTTTGCATTTTAACTCAAGTATTGAGTCATATTCAGCAATTTCCTCTATATTGATTGCTTTTAAATTTTGATTAATGACATACTAATATGGTAATATGACTTAATTGCATACTTTATTAAAACATAAATTGTATATATATTGTTTAACAATATTAATTACTTAACGAGTATGATATGTCTTAGTAAATCATATACTATATTGTTACTAATATTAATTACTTAACGAGTATGATATATCTTAGTAAACATATATATTATTTAAGAGACTTTTTTTAATCAATGTTTGATTTATCATATACCAAATTCTCTTAAAAATTGATATGTGTTTTTTACATTTTCTTAGTGGTTAAAGAATGTTTTAATTTGTTAATTTTAAAAAATAAATGACAGAAAAATGAATAATAGCTGAAACACAGACATTTGTTTTTTGGCTTAAATCAATCAATGTAACTACCTCCAAAAGAGATACTACTATATTGTTCATATCTCCATCATATTTTTTACTTTTTAAAGTTAATTTATTTTTTATATATTAAAATCTTATCAAATATATCATCTTTATAATTTATTTAATTTATTTATCGAATTTAAATAATAATTTTTTTACTCCGTCCTAGACGCGGATTATCACCTAGTTATAGTTATCTATAATATAAAAGATGGTCAACTCTCTCCAGTTGAGTGCCACCTCTGCACATGAGAGAGTGACATCTGTCAATTTAATTTTTCTAATTAATAAATTATTATTATTATGTAATTAAAGTTAGACCAATTAATTATTTACTTTTTAATTGTGTGCTATTTAAATATATTTGTTTTGGTTTTTATATGTTTGATAAATGTATATTTTAATTTATTGTTAATGTAATAAAAACCTCACAAAAATAATCAGAATAAAAATAAAATAAATTAAGATTTGCAGCGTGATATGTGACCGAAAAAGTAGTATTAGAAATGTTTAATTAGTCTGCGCCAAGAACAAATATGACCTGCTAAAAATAGTCGTCTCTACTTATATTGTGATTTGAAAAGTTTCTCTAATTACTTTTTTGTTATATAGTACTTCTCTAAAATACACTATATCTATTTAATGTATTCTATATATACAACGCATAACATATTTCACATTTCATGATCAATAAACTATTTATTACATATATAGTCAATATCTACATAATACGTACATACATATTGCATGTTTATTCAAATACACAATATTCTTAAGTAAAATTTAAATATATGATAAAATAAATTTTAACTTAACTTTTTAACAAACTATATTATATAACAAAAATCTGCGTATCGCGTGGGTACTCATCTAGTACACTTTAAAGTAACGTAAAACCAACAATTAAAGTTTTTATTTCAGAGAACCTCGTAACTCCATTTGTTCACTCAAATTCATCAAATCTAATCCACCAAATTAAGTTAGAGTAGATCCATTAGTCTCCAAAATCAGAAAATTATAAAAGGATAGTTTAGAAATTACAGAATAACTTCAAAGATTAGTAGGTTATTGTAGTTATTTTAGATTTAGTGGGCTATTTTAGCTATTTTACAAATAAACTGAGTTATTCTAGGTCATTTTCTCATTTTAAAACTAAAATTTATCCCAACAACAAAATTAAACTTATATAGACTTTGATAGATTCTGAAATTTCAAAGTATTGAAGCAAAAAAATTAAAGTTGAAAGTATCTTTCCATGGTATAAATCTCTCTTTTTCAAGGAAAACCTGAACCAGATGCTAAACAAGGACTAATTTGTACAGTTCGTATTGTGAATTTTGAAATGTCCTTAGTTTAGTTTTCATAAATTTCGAATGATAAAAGACAACACATATATGATTCAAAAGTGTAACAATAGGAGAGACATTACATCGACACGTCAGACATCTACACATAGAATTGGGTTTGGCTCTTTTAAATGTTCACACGTTGTCTAATAAACATAGGAGAGACATTACATTACTTAAACTAATAGAATCTTTAGAGAACAGCATCATCCTAAAGGCCAAAGAAAACCTTTGCTCCTCCAATCTGAAAATTAAAAACTTGTTATTTGTTCTTTACACGAAGCCATCCTCCCCACAAAGCAAAGCATTTCTCACCTTTTTTAGTTTATTTTCTTGAGAACTAACAAACAAAGAAGGGAAGTACAATAAAGAAAGGGGACCATAACAGTTAGGCAAAGTAAAGGAATAACCCAATCACAAAGAAAACAACTTATAAAAATATCATTTGTACATTACTATATAAGAAATCGCTTGGATACTCTCTTATCAACATAACCCAAAGATCCTTATTCAAAATCCAAGTTCAAACAAAAAAAAATCAAGAAATGGAGAGAAAATCCGATTCTAATGCTAATCGCATTTATGAAGAATTCGATCCAATCTCTAATTGGAAATCTGAACAGGGATTTGAAACTCTTACTGTTTATCTTCCAGGTATTACTCAACAATCTCACTCGCATAATTTTTATTCTTGATTTTGGTATAAATTTAATCATGGTTCTTGAATTGTCTAACCAGTTCTTGATAAAACCAGGGTTTAGGAAAGAGCAACTTAAAGTGCAAGTAACCACAACGAGGAAGGTGAGAGTGATGGGAGAACGTCCTGCAGGAGCCAACAAATGGATCCGTTTTAGCAAGGAGTTTCCTATCCAAGCAAACATCGATACCGACTCCATCGCTGCCAAATTCGAAGGCGCAAATCTTGTACTGAAGCTCCCTAGAACCGAGCCAATAAGCAAACAAACTTCTCCCATTGGTACAACCGCAAAACCTGCTCCGGTTCCTAAGGAAACAGAGAAGATTCAACCACCAAATCCAACAAGAGAGAAAGAACCAGAACTACAGAAACAAACCGAGAAGGTTCAGTTGCCGCCAAAGGCATCAAGAGAGGAAGAAGAAGCTTGTAAAGATGCAAAGGAAAATGTATGTGATGGAATACATAACCAAGACTATAGAATTAATGTGAATGCATACAAAGAGAATCTTGGAGGATATGTTGCATTGATGAAGGATAACAAGAAAGCAATCACAATTGGTATGGTTGCTCCTGCTGCTGCGGTTCTGTTGCTGTCGATTGGATTCTATGCTGGTCAAATGTTTCATTCTTAACTAAACCTCTTTGGAAATTTGAGATTTCTCAAAGTCAGATCAATTGTATTAACTTTGCATGTATACAAGAAATCATATTAATAAAGAAATAACCATTAAAAAAACAAATGTTGTTCATCAGAACCATAAGAAAGTTTTCATCAAACACATTCTCAGAACCAAACAGAACCATTAACTAATTAAAATCTCTCTTACGCTTACAACTTAAACAGCTTATCAATGGTCTGACTCTTTTGAAGTCTCAACTCCAACATTTTCCAACGAGTAATACACATCATATGATCAGGACGTCTTTCATGTTCTTTAACAAATTGACAGTAAGTGGATTGGCCCATGCTTCTTATATATTAGTTAGGATCTCTTCCAACTGCCAATGTGGGATATTATCCCTAATACGCCCCCTCGAGACAATGGCTACTTTGGCCATTGATCTCGATAATGTTTGGGTAAGGATCGACGGACCATCTTTAGATCACATATCGATTATGGATCAGGTTGGATTGTTTAGATCGGGTTCTGCTACCATGTTAAGTTACATGGGCTTCCAACCTAAAACTAATTGGTAGTAAGTGGATTGGCCCATGTTTCTTATATATTAGTTAGGATTCCTTCCAACTTCCGATGTGGGATATTATCCCTAATACTTTGAGCCTCATCGAAACATTTCTCCAGTCATTATACCCTGTAGTTACCAAGTTACCACCACCATTCTTGTGATCATCTCTGAACAACTTACAGCAAAAATAAAAGGCCTTATCTAAAATTTTCGAGTAAACAAGCCATTGCCTATCTACTTTCTCACCATTCACCATCTCTCTCACGTAGAACGGGTGCGAGAAACGCCTGCTGATACCATCTCTATGGAACTAATAATCACCTGATTGCCTTTTTGTTGGACCGTTTCTAACCAATAAATCTCTCCATCTATTATCAACCTTTCCCCAATTCCCAGGATCAGATATATCTTCTGAACTTTAAATGCTGAACTTTCAAATTTCAGTCATTCTAAGCATCATCTTTCGTGTGATCCATTTAAATCACAAACTTTTTGTTGAGCGATGTTAAAATCACAAACTTATGTTGACTCGGCCATTTTAAGCACGACGTTAACATCTCTACGTTTGGTCAACGCTTGTTAGTGAATACAATGTCATGCCTAATATGGCTAGTCAACATAAGTTTGTGATTTAAAAAATAATCGATAAAAAGTTTTTGATTTAAACTGTCCACGCAAAACTTAATGCTTATAATGGCTGAAATTTAAAAGTTTGGCATTTAAATGATATTTTTTTACTAAACGGTAACTTCTATTTTTAATTGAAAAAAATATCTCAAACTTAAGAAGTTTGTAATTAGCAATAAAACTGATGAAAAAGCAGCTTAAACTTAACATATTGAGGTTTTTTTAGATAACACATGATTCATCTAACAATGTGATTTTCTAAACAAAACCCAAATAGTTCAAAATGGTAATATTACTACAGTTTTCTTCCACAACTTGAAACTCGAATGTTTCAGTAAAATTGTGATCATGAGTGATAAATGATCACTGTTTTATGGATTTTCTATTTACTAAACGTAAGCCAAATTAATTTCTTATTATGATAGTGCTAACGAGGTAGAACAAGTTTTTTTGTGTTTGGCATCTTTGGAAAAGAAAATGGAAAAAAGTATAAAACGTACACAAATCAAATCTTTTTTTTTATAGTTCAGTTATATAAATAACAAAATATGAAAGTTATCGTAATAATGGAGACATTAGTCGCACGCAATTAGTCGATATTCTTTCATAATTTATGGATTGCATTCAATTAGTCATTCATTTATCACAATCTTTCGTAAGATTTGCATTTTTAGAGATAAAAAGAAAATGCCATTTAAATGCCAAACTTTTGAATTTCAGCCATTATAAGCATTAAGTTTTGTGTGGACACTTTAAATCATAAATTTTTATATTGATTATATTTTAAATCACAAACTTATGTTGATTAGTCATATTAAGCATGACAATGAATTTACTAATAGACGTTGACTAAATGGCGTTTAATCAATTTGTTAGTGATGTTAACGTCGTGCCTAAAATGGCCGAGTCAACATAAATTTGTGATTTTAACATTGATCAATGAAAAGATTATGATTTGAATGGATCATATAAAAGATGATGCTTAGAATGACTGAAATTTGAAAGTTCAGTATTTAAATTACTTTTTTCGGCTCCAGTGAATTAAGTAAAATAATAATTAAACGATTTGAGGCTTTATTAAAATGGGCCACTATGGCTACCTTGGTTGGGCTATGAGTCAGGCCTTTTTCTAACCTATGGTCGTTTTGCCGCCAAACCACTGAGGAAGAACAACGCAAATCAGTATGAATATAGGATTAGCAAGATCGAGGAAGAGGAAGCTCGATTTCTCTTGATAAACTCATTGAAATCAGAAAAAATCTCTCAAAACCATCACCAAGGCTCTGGCCAGACGATCCCCGACCTCGAACAACGCATCTCGAATGAAACAGGACGACCCGTTGTTGAAATCCATCATCCGTTGCTACAAAAGCTTGAATCTTTAAGAGCAGTGAGCGAATTTGATCAAGTCTATTCCCAAATTATAGTCTCTGGGCTTCTTCAACACTCTCTTGTATCAGGACGAGTGATTAAAAAGCTCTGCACGTGGTTTAATTCGGTGTCACGATCTGTTTCAGTTTTCGATTCCGTCGATGAACCTGACGCGTTTCTGGGTAACACTATTTTGAGATGTTTCGTCAAATCAAAACAACCTTTGGGTGCGTTGAGGTTTTACTATGAGAAAATGGTGGCGAGGAACCATTATACGTTTCCGTTGATGGCAAAGGTGTGTGCGGAGATTGGTTTGCGAAAGATGGGGAAAAGATTCATGCTTTGGTTTTGAAGTTAGGGTTTGATTTGGATTTGTTTGTGAGGAACTCGCTGATTCTTATGTACTCTGTTTTCGGACGGATACGAGATGCACACAAGGTGTTCGATGGTGGGTACATGTTGGATTTGGTTAGCTGGAATCTGATGATTGATGGGTATGTGAAGAACGGTGAAGTGGATGTTGCGCGCAAGTTGTTCGATGAAATGCCTGAGAGAGATGTTTTCAGTTGGAACTCTATGATTTGCGGTTACGCAAAGATTCAGAATATGGAGACTGCGCGGTGTTTGTTTGAGAGCATGCCTGATCCGGATGCTGTTTCTTGGAACTGTATGATCGACGGTTACGCAGCAGCGGGAAAAGTTGCAATGGCGAGGGAGTTTTTTAATAGAATGCCGAGGAGAAACGTGGTTTCATGGAATACTATCTTGGCTCTCTGTGTCAGGAACAAAGATTGCGCAGAATGTCTTAGGCTTTTCGAGGTGTTGATGGAGAAAGGAGACGGCTTGAAACCAAACAAAGCGTCGATTACTAGCGCCTTGACGGCTTGTGCGAATTTAGGCCGGATCGATACAGGGAAGATGATACATTCGTATGTGACAAGCAACTGTATTAGACCTGATGTGCTTCTCGCAACCGCTCTGCTTACAATGTATGCTAAATGTGGCGCAAAGGATATGGCTAGAGAGGTCTTTAAAGGGATGGGAGAGAGAAGTATCGTGTCGTGGAACTCGATGATCATGGGATATTGCACGCACGGGGATGGAGAGAAAGCTTTAGAGATGCTTCTAGATTTGGAAAAGCATGGAAACGTCGACCCGAACGGTGCTACTTTAGTTTGTGTGCTGTCTGCATGTGCCAATGCTGGGATGTTTCTCGAAGGTTGGTGGGTATATGATCGATTAACCCAAATCTATGGTGTTGAACCCAAATTAGAGCACCATGGATGCTTGGTGAATCTCCTTAGCAAAGCAGGTTTGACAAAAGACGGTGAAGAGCTAAAAAATGAGACTCACAAGACTCAGACTCCTGACGTCGGAGAAATCTTGGCGAAGGGGCTCATGAGAATGCAACCAAGTGATGTAGGGCCTTATGTGTTACTATCATATATACATGCTGTTGATGGAAAGTGGAGGGAAGTGGAGAAAGTGAGAAGGATGATGATAGATGAGAAAAAGCTGTGTACAATAAGTAAAGGAAGTAAACAAAGTTGCGTGACAAAGATTGTGTGTTGTGTGAGCTTCGAACTGAAGATATCATTTGTTTAAGAATAGATTTTCTTGTCTGTAGTAAAACTTCTCTATCACAGATTCTAATTATTGGATTTATCTCATTAAAATGATAAGATCTATATTTTTAAGCTATATAAAATTATAACAGAACCTAAGTCCTGTAAGAAACACACATGAGAATCTTACTATGAATCACAGAAATGAGAAGATCGTACGAATTATGATTTAAATGGCTTAGAACAAAGAACAAATCATGAAAAAGGCCACTAAGGAGTAGTTTAAAGCTACTCTGTAATCTTTTGTGGGCATACCTCCGTTTTTCTTATCTTTTTCCGATCCTTCAGAACCTGAAATTTTATAATTTAAGAAAATAATCTATAAGACAAGAAAAAGATGTTGGCTACTTTATCTTGAGCTCTAAAACTAGTTTACATGACTTTGATTCTTGTTCTTGTAGATATATAAACTGAAGAAGATAATGAAAATTTAGTTCTTATGCCATTCTGGTTTTTTTTCTTTTTTTTTGGATATATGAGTCTAACATGTAAAAATAAAAAATCTGACCTGAAGACGATGAATCTTCACTTCCGGTTGGAGAGATGATCGGAAAACCCATAACTATAAACCAAGAAAACAACAATTATTTCCAAACATTTATCCCCAAAAAATTACATACTTTTCAGATGAAAACTAGTTAATTATAGGACTGCTTCTTTCACATAATGTACAGGACTAGTCTACTAGATAATTGGATTATTTTTTAATAGCAATTCTCATATTATTTTACAAAAACAATGTTAATTTTCAATTCTGAGAATGGTTGCGCAGTTTTCACTAAATAATTTCTCAAATAATAAGGGGCTGACTAGTGACTATTAATACTATTCCATTATCATATCTAGGGGTTCTTATATACTATTGAGTTCCATTAATGAACCAACTTTAGTATAGGATTGGAGATATTTTTATTTATTAAGTTCCATTAATGAACCAATCAGTCAGATCAATATCTAGTGAACTAAACCGTTCGATTAAGTATTTTATTAGATCGGACGGTAAATAACATAGAAAAAGCAGGTGTACGGTATTAATGATTGTACCTGAACACAAGCTAGGAGATGGAGCTTTCACACCGCAGATTGAAGAAAGTTCCTCAGCTCTCTGCTTGTCAAGCTTGACTCCAAAACGCGGCGATGCGCCGCCGCCGAGTAGATTACAGACGCACTCCGGCGAGCTTTGAGCCATTCCAGCAAGCTCCGGGCAACAAGCATATTCGGGCTTAGTCTCAGTACTCCCAACCTGAACGTACGAGAGACAGTCCGATACGTTAAGCATACTCACTAGACAGTTCGCCGGCGAAGAGGGTCCGTCGGCGGCGACTGGTTCCGGTGCGGGAGGGGTCTGTGCGGAGCAGAGTGTAAGGAAGAGGAAGAGGCCGGCGAGAATGTTGACGGTGGGCATTTTGGTGGGATCTGATTGGATCTGAGCTGCACTTAATGATTTTAGAATTGGAAATTTGGTTTTATGTGGTGAGTTAACTTTTAAGTGAAAAGTACAAAAAGCTTTTATTGTGTCTTTGGCTCTTTGTAAATGGGAGATCAAATGCTTAATTTTACCTTTTTTGTTTTTTACAGTAAAAATATCATTTTATATTTTATATTCTGAAAGTATTTAAACTAGTTATTGAGAGTTTATTTGGCCTGTGTTATTGTAAATTGTATTGTCTAAAAAGTTGTATGTTTTACGAGTTATATATAAAACATTGCTTCTTAATGTAATCAATAAGAATCTCCTTTATAATTGTTAAGAGTTTATTGTTATGGTATTATAGCTAATAATCTAATTTAGTTTATTAATTATCAATTTATTAATATTCAGATATTTTCTATTTCAGATCTCTATTTTATAAGTTATATATAAAGCATTGCTTCTTAATGTAATCAATAAGCATCCTCTTTATAATTGTTAAGAGTTTTTTGTTGTGGTATTATAGTTAATAATCTAATTTGATTTATTAATTATCGATTTTCTATTATTAATATTCGAATATCTTCTGTTAAAAAAGATATTTTCTTCTTTGATCTCTATTCGTTGAAATTCTCTTTACAATTACAGATCTTCTTAAGACTGTATCTCATAGATGTACTTATATTACAAGGAAATCTAAACTCATGTTAAATATATAAAAAGAATCAAATCTCCATATGACCAATTTGGGTTATCACATTAAGTCTCAGCCACTTTTACGTGGATCTAATTACATTAAATGGTCCATAAATCTTCGTTTAATTCTCCAAGCACAAAAAAAGTTCGGGTTTGTAGACGGCTCAATTCCTCGACTTAATGATGATTCAGAGGATCACGAAGATTGATGTGCAAACAATGCTTTGGTGATTTCGTGGATAAAACTCACAATTGCTTAGCCACTACGATCCTCGGTATCCCATAATGATGATTATCATGAACTTTGGGTACATATTCAAAGACATTTTTCTGTGAAAAAATAGACAAAGGCTTAAGATAGAGCTTGCAAATTATCGACAAAAGAAACTTGCTATTGAGCTTCCTATGGTATGGTCCAGTTTGTCTGATTATCAAAGAGCTAAAACTTCAGCTGAGATTCAGAAAGAACATGAAGACAATAAACTGTATCAATTCTTCATGGGATTAGATGAATCGATATATGGTGCTGTAAAATCGAACTTGATTTCTCGTGATCCCTTGCCTACCTTAGATGAAGCATATAATATTCTTACTCAAGATGAGGAATCCAAATTGGCTGGACGTTTACATGAAGAGCGACTTGAAAAATGTAAGAAGCGACAATAGCTCTGAGTTCATTTGTTTAGCAGATTTTTTGTTAAAAATGGATGATTCATAAAACCTCTTGTGTTGTCACTGCACAACATAATAGTCGTGTAGAACACAAGCATCAACACATTCTTAATATTGCATGTGCACTTCGAATCCATTCTCATCTCCGTACATAATTTTGGGGTTATTGTGCACTCCTTGCTTCTTACCTTATCAATTGAACTCCAACGAAGCTTCTGCCGGAAAAAAATGCCATTCAAACTTGTTTACAAGGTCCTCCTCCTATGCGTCATTTGCATGTATTCGGCTGTATTCATTATGTTCATTAACCAGAAACATGATGATGACAAGTTTGTTTCATGTGGCAATCCTTCCATTTTTGTTTGATATCCGTTTGCTAAGAAAAGCTGGTGTGTCTACAATATTGCAACTGGGATAATATCAGTCTCTTGTAATGTTGTTTTCTGTGAAGCAATATTTCCATACTAAAAAACAGAGCTCGCACAGCCTAGCTCATTTGTCGTCTGCTCAGTTGCATCCTTTAGACGAGGATATGGAAATTTTTCGATGCTCCTACTACTTTGTCGTGATCTTCAGTCTCTCGGCACTAGTTCTCCTCCTTCTGTTGAATCAATGATTCCTTTGTCTCCTCGTTCATCTTCATAGTCTCTACATAGTTCTGATATTATTGCTACTGATTCTGCATCAACTTCTGCTATGACTCTTTCATCGGATATCTTCTCTACTTTTGATACATATATCATTTCTGCTGACTTTCTCAGCCCAAGTACATCTATGCAAGAGTCTGCTTCTTCCCCTGAAAATACTCAGGTTTCCAGTGATGAAGAAATTGACTCTAATGATCCTCCTTCTCCACGATCATATATGGATGGAAATACTGTACTTGGTCGTGGCTTACGGAAGAAGAAAAATATGACCAAGCTTATTATGTCATTACTCTCCTACATTAGCCTTTTCCATCAACCACTTCGTACCCTTTGGATCATTATTTAACCATTTCTCAACTCTCTATAAGTCATCAAGCGTATATTTTGGCCATCACGTCTGCCGATGAACCAACATATTTGAAAGATGCTATCGAATTTAAGGTATTATGTGGTTCTATGATTCACGAAATTGTAGCTCTTGAAGACAAAGGTACTTGGACAATTGTTGATCTCCAACCGGATAAGAAAGCTCTCGATTGAAAATGGGTTTATCGCATCAAATTCAAGGCATATGGTATGATTGAACGATACAAAGCAAGAATCGTGGTCCTTGGAAATAATGAGACTGATGGTGTTGACTAAAATGAAATATTTGCTCATGTTGTTAAGATGGTTACTGTCTGTGCGTTTCTGAAACTTGCTACCTCTGCAAACTGTAAGATCCATCAAATGGACGTTCATAACGCAGTACAAGAAAACAGTCGATTTGTATGGGAAGAAGTGGTCATAAGTATGTCGTGAATAGGCAATAGCGGCGGAATTGCGACGGACAACAAAATATCGCAATATGTTAGCCGCAAATCAAAATACATCGCAAGTCTGTCGCAAAATTTGCGACAAACAAAAATCGATGCAAAACAGTCGTAAAATTTGCAAAAAACACAATATGTCGCTAATATTGCGGACAACTTCAAACGAATCAAATGTGTCGCAATATACAATAGTCACAAATCTGACACATATATTACGACGTGATTGTGGCACCTTCTTTCCGTCGCTGCTCTGTCGTCGCAGATTAATGAGAAGAATCGTCGCAAGTGTGTCACAATTTCTTTGAAACCTTCATCGCAAAGTCGCCGAAAAATTATTAGAAAGATCATCGCAAGTGTGTCGCAAAAATATTAGAAGCAGCCGTCAAAAATCTGCCACAGAATTATTAGAAAAGTCGTCGCAAATGTGTAATAAAATTATTAAAAGCAGCCGTCCTAAAGTCGCCGCGACGGATGTTTGTAAAATATATTAAAATAAATTAAAATTATTTCTTTTGTAAATAATTAAAATACTATTAAAATTATAATAAAAATATAATTTATAATTAAAACTACAATTAAAAGTTTAAGTAGTTACAAAAAAGAAATAATAATAAAAAGACATAAAAACAAATAAACTAAATATCTTGTAGAGGATTGCCCGACATACGGGTTCATAATTCCGCAAATTTTGAATCTTTCTCGGCCAAGTACTCGAACATGATATCGCAACTCTGCATATTCTCAGCTTGAGACTCAATCAAACGAGACTGAGACTCAATAATACTCTTTAAAGCCTACATCTTGGATTGAGATGATGAAAACAAATACAGCTGAAGACTCAGTCTGAGATTGCAAAGAACTGACTCTAAATATTCTTCCTTTTTAATGGAAAGAAATCTGAAAAATAAAATAAAATATTAAAAAATGTAAATTGAACTAAAAATAAAACATCTAAATTTATAAAACACATAAATTTATAAAACAATTACTTCAATAAAGATCTTATTCTTCTGAGCTGCAATCAGTCCATCAGATGACATACTCTCTGGATGATCCAGATCTTCCTAAGCCATCTCCGCCATCTTTGAAGTGATGTCATTGTAGAGCTTTTCCGAATATCCATCAACAAAATATCCATTCGGCTTGCATTTAGCCTCCTCGATGCCAGCTAGCAATATTATGTTCTGTATAGACTAAAATAATAGCAATTATTATTAAAAAAATATTAAATTATTTGCATTAAGATCAAACATAAATTCATTAATTAAAATATTTACTATTTTTCGAGTTCGGGCTTTGAACGACATCTGACTAGAGCGATGCTTAGAAATCTCATATCCGTCGGGATCATTGTATCAAGCTTTGCGGCTATTGGCACTCTTCTTCTGGTTTGCTGGGTCTAACCAATATCGAACATGACACTTCCAGACTTCTGGATCTAGCCAAATGGGTCTTGCATCATTTCCTATCTTCTTTCACTTCGACTTCCATTGTCCAATCTGATCAGTCATCCGTTTCTTCAGTTTTGTTTTGAACTGAGCAAACACTTCTCTATTGATGCCCCAATCCCAATAATATCTTTGCTGAAAAAAATTTAATGTTAATAAATAATAGAATTAGTTAAAAACATTAAAAATAAATAAATAAAAACTTTGTAAAACTTACAGAAAATTGTTCATACCACCGTTTGATAGTGGCATCTGAAGTGATCAGAGTAACATTAGCATTCGCTTCTTTGAAATCTCTCTCAAAGATTGTACAGATCGTGCAACCCTAAACCATCATGATCAAGCCTGAAAAATACATATTATATAAAATGATAAATAATAAATTATAATTTAAAGAAAATATTTTAAAAAATATATTATACCATAATGTAACAGCATGACGGTCTGGTACATGGTGTGGTAGTTTGTCATGATCGAGACGCTCCAAAAGATTTTGAACGGCCAAATCATGAGCAATATCTTCGGCAGAACGTCCTATAGGTGCAACTGGAGCGGATTGGATCTCAGAAATAGCACTAGCAGTCTTCTACGAGCTAGAACCACCAGAAGCAAATCGAGACGCATACTGAGAATATATATTTCCTGTTATCTGGAAAACAAATTGAAATACAAAAAAATAAATATTAGTAAAAAATCATAGAATTTTTTTTCAAATGACAAGAAATACATATAATATTAAAATTTCCAAAAAAACAAATATAGAAATTCTAAACCTAATTCTAACAATCTAAATCTAACAATTTCAAATTTCTAAAATTTGAAATCTTATAAATATAAATATTAAAAATTACAA